CCCCCAAACAATACAAGTGAAGCAGTGGAAATAAACAGGCAATGGGAGACAGAATTCATTAGCAAATCCTACTACATTTCTCAGGTGTCTAACTAAGGATGATGTCAATCCTCCTACTCATTTAGTTTGACACTTTATTCACATTTAGCAGTCCTGTACTTTGCATGTGTGGTTGTAGTTCTTCAATGTGCACCTTGAAGATCATTTAACATGGATTAGTTCCTCCCAGATCTATTTAGCCAGCTTTCTATTATAGTATGGAAGACAACTGTTTGGTAAGCAAAAACTTGGTATATTTACCAAAGTGTGCACATAACTATTGCATTTTACCAAGAAGCAGTATTTTTTTTTACTTTTCTGCTACTATGATTAGGTGTGGATGTGTGGTAGCTTGCAGTTGTTGCAACTTGCTCTTATGTCTATGCTATGCCTTGTCCCATATGAAACTACCTGTACTCTCTGGTCATCTCAGAAGGCCATTTCAGTTTCCCCTCCCATCTGAAGCTAGACAGGTGGCAACCCAAGAAAGGCCTTCTTGGCCATTGCACCAAAACTTTGGAACTCCTTCCCCAGAGGGATTTATCTGTCTCCATCAGTATTTTTCTCCAGCAGGTGAAGACTTTTTTGTTGCATCTGGCATACTCCCAATAACAGTTACTGGCCCTCCTACTGTGTTTTAATTGAATTATTTTACAATTTTAACTGTATTTTTAATTGCTTAAATGTTCTAATTGTTTTATGTTCACCACCTTGCGGACCAAGTATGTGGAAAGGCAACATAAAAATGCTTTAACTAAAGCTTTAGATAACATTTGAACCACATTACAAAGCAAGTTTTAAATACTGATTAAATAGTCTGATAAGTGCATCATGGGAAACATATTAATAGGGGAGGGTTAATCTTTAAAATGTTATGAATGCTTGGTGAGAATATAGAGGCATCAGTATTGTACCAGATACTGCCTACAAAATGAAGTCTGTGGCATAGTGTTGTTCACATTATAAGAAGTGGATTCAGAACACGTTGGGATCTTTAAATAACCCCTACTCTGCATTATCTTGGACTCTTACTATTTTGTTTCCTAAAGGCATTCAATCTATTCTGGTTTACAATACTACTACACTCTTCATTGCACCAGAGGAAAGGATGCCTAACCAAATTCAGAGGAATATCTAACTCACAGTGCAAACCTAAAGCCACTTTCCTGAGAGTAAGCCCAATTGAGTAGACTTCAGTAGGGTTCAGAGTAGACCAGCTTAGGATGGCACTGCAAAAGTCTTCACAGTTTCATTCTAAGACCCATCAACATTGGGTTGGATCCCACCTAAATTGGAAGGATGATTTCCATCTGTGGAAATGTGACTTCTCTATACCACACATGCTACAGTGTGAAATGCCCCTCAATGCTGCTCTTAGAGAGATTAAGACTGTCAGACTAGTATCTGGGAGACCGAGGTTCAAATTCCCACTTGTGCCATGGAAGCTCACTGGATGACCTTGGGCCCGTCACACTGTCAGCCTAAGCTACCTTGGGCCAGTCTCACACACACTCAGCCTAATCTACCTCATTGGGTTGTTGTGAGGATAAAATGGACAAGAGGAGAATGCTGTAAGCTGCTTTGGGTCCCCATTGAGGAGAAAGGCTAAGTACAAATGAATTAAATAAAAATATGTCTATGCTATGCCCCCAGAATAGTTTTTAGGAGAAATCACCAACCATCCCCCCCAATTCATGCATGGACATTTTAAGTGGGATCCAACCCACTCTCCTCCACATCACAAAGTCTCAAAATCTAGACACATCTAAAAACTTCCCAATCAGTTTTTCTTCAAATTCCACTTGAGTGTTACCCAGAGGGAAATTATCACTCCCCATCATACATTGCTATAAGTTTTCCCAAACATCTTAACTAGTAGAACTACTAATCTTTCCCAAATCAATATAGAAACTTGTAACTGAATTAAAACACCATCATTTAATACCACTAGATAATTTTAAATGCCCCAGAAAGGCCTCATTCTAATCAGTCTGCCCACTTCTCCAAAGTTATACTAAACCTCAGAACAAAAAAGTCCATTCAGCATGTGAACTAGTTTTTAAATGAAGTATCCAACTGTTGTGTATTTACGTAATATGTACACCAATTTACAATTGTAACAATTAAAATGTGTGTGCAATGGCTCAAGTGGTTAAGACGCTGAACTGCAGGCTGTGGAAGGTCAATAGTTCAGCAGTTTGAGACCCGAGTGTGCCGCATGATGGAGTGAGCTCCCGTCTCTAGTTCCAGCTCCTGCCAACCTAGCAGTTCGAAAGCAAGAAATTGCAAGTAGATAAATAGGTACCACTTCAGTGGGAAGGTAACAGCATTCCGTGGGCCTTGGTGTTTAGTCATGCCGGCCACATGACCACGGAAATGTTTTCGGACAGCGCTGGCTCTTCGGCTTTGAAATGGAGATGAGCACCGCAACCCTAGAGTCGGATTCGACTGGCTTTCGAGCAAGGGAACCTTTACCTTTACAACTCAATACTACTTTATATTATGCAGGTGCATAATTCAGACCTTCTGGTCATGCAATCCAGCTACCGTTTTGCCCTAGAGAATTTATAGCAGATCCAAAAACACCAGTGTTTTATCCTGTCTATATACATATAAGAACACCAAATGAGATCACTTATTTGAATTTTTACATGACCAGAATCTTCCAGAAGCAGAGGCACAACAGTGTTTTTCTCTCTGACATGGAAAGTGAATGTCTATACTGGTTAACTGACAGAGTCTAAACACTCATGCTTTCCACAACATAAAAACCCATTAACCACATTTGTACTATTTGACCTCATCATTTTTTGCCCCACATTTGCTCTTTTCTGAAGTAAACCATCTTTACATAAAATATATTTGATACTGGGTCATAAATGTACCACAGATTTTGAGATGGTTTGGTACTACAATGAAATATTTTTAGAAGGGACACAATATAGCTGAGCATTTTTAAGAGGAGATATTAAAATTAAAAAATTCTAACCATGTTTTTTAAAATACATTTTTTAATCTATCTTGTGTTTACATCTAACAAGTCAACCCCTGAAAAGTCCACATCTAGACAAAGGTTATAAACACCCAGATATTGTACCCTGGACCAAGACCCCAATATAATTTAATTTAGCTATAAAAACAGGTGCACCCTCTTCTCTTCCTCTCCTGTATTCTCCCCACAAAATAACCTGACAGATCATTTAAAATATGTTTCCCCAAGCCATGTTTCCAGAATCCAGACTTTAACCTTCACGCCATAAATATTCTTCAGCTGTTGCCCATGAGCGATTAAACTATATGCCTTCCAACAGAAATCACACGACTTTTATTTCTCTACGTCTGTTGGAATTCGATTTAAAGACCGAGGACCAACCCCTAGATATTTTTGAGCCGCCCTTAAAATCATCATCAAGCGGCTTTCTTCGCCTGAGCTGTAAAATCAATTGCCTCGCCCATAAAGACAAGACAACGTCCCTGCCGCACAAGCAGAGTCGCATTCAATTTTCCCCCTTCCTGTGCCACACCTTCCACCCGTCCTTTCCATAGGGGAAGGCTCTCGAACGCTTGGAGCCATCCTTCCCTCCCACCCCATGTACCTTAACCGGCTGAGCACATGAAATCTCACGTTTATCCATAACGATCTGAACCTTCCCTCGCCACTTTACACCCCTCTATACACCGGGCGACGTTTACCACCCCAATTCCAACAGCCCGGTTCCCCGCCACCCACCCCGTCCCCGTTGCTGAATAGCATGTGACCCTCCACATTCCCCTCATCGCACACGTCCTCTGCGCACCCCCAGCTGCATGCCCAAACTTCTGCCATTTATAACGACGCAAGGGAGAAAGAAGTGCGCGGGCTCCTTCGAAACACCTGATAGTCCCTGCCCGCTTC